CTTCTTCGGTTGCTCCAGCAAAATCCCATCTGTATGCATACATACACGATTACACTTTGAGGCTGAGATGGCCAACCTGTTTAAACACATCTCTTCCAGTGGCATTCTAGTGTTAGGATTGAGAGGGAGGCATTCCAGTGGAATGCATGCTCCAAGAGCGGATGTCTCATGGTGGTGGCTGACGCTAACAATCCGTGAGCAATGTAAAGAAGCAGGCTGGTTTTGAGCAGTGTACATGAACTTTATGTCCAGCACTTGACGATAACCAGTACCTTTTGACAAACTCAAACAATTTGGAAAAGATAGCAAGCTTTAGCACTAGATGGGGAGAAGCAAAGTCTTGATGTGCTCTTTTATAAGGGCGCCTTGGAATACGCGCCTATACATCATACATTGGTTACCTGATATGTGCTATTCACAGGCAAACATTCAGTTATCAGCAATAGATGAAGACTGATCAGCCTACCATAGATCAATGCGTCAAAAAGGATCTAGAAGTCAGAGAGTTGCAGCACAAACCCATATCAGTCAGCCGATCTATTTGATCTGAAACGTCATCTGGTTCTCTTTCTCTTCGTGGTGCAAGAAAATGATAAAAGAAATGAGAGCTATACCGAGAGCATAACTTGACAATGTCAAAACAGAGGAACTAGGGACGACCTTCAAGACGATAGGCTGAGCTGTGAGTGAAGTGAAACTAGTGTACTAATGTTCTCGGCGGCCGAGCTTTCGCTTCGCCGGCTGCTGGTGCTGCTTCTTTCTGTCCACCCATATACTGCTTGCAAGCATCTGTAAAAAGTAAATATTAAATTAATGAATAATGTCTGAAACAAAGTGGATTACTAAACAGTAATTTTTTAGAATTTTCAGTTTTACATAGTGTGTAATTTCCAAAACGGAACTTCATTTTGCGTCTGTTTGTGTTTCAAGGATGCCACCCACAGGTCTAGAACCAAATGGTTTGTCCAATTTGTTCAAATGAACTATTTTTTCTTTACATTAGTGTTTTTTGAACGTTTTTCAAAATTTTGTAAGAATTGAGTTGTTTTATTTCGATTTTTTTTCACTCACTCTTGGGGGTTTTACTTGCGTGTAATGGTGATGGGCAACCCGGCCTTTGGCACTGGGAATGGTCTGTACTCCACTCCTTCGGTTGCTCCAGCAAAATCCCATCTGTATGTACACATACACGATCACACACATTGTTTGATAAATAAAAAGGCTGAGATGGCCAACCTGTATGTGGTGGTAAGGTGGTGCACAAGCACGAGTATTTCCAGCTTGGCCAGCTCGTTGCCTGGGCATGAATGGAGGCCATTTCCGAACGGTATGAACGTGTTGGGCTTGATCGGCTCCTCGAATCTGGAGGGATCAAACTTGAATGGGTCCGGGAAGAAGTCTGGGCTGTGGTGGAGCATCCTGAACAGCGGCATCACTTTCCAGCCCTTGGGGATTATGTAATCTATTTGTCACACGCAAGCCAGAGTTGACAGTGTCAACTTTCAAAGCTCGAGGAGAAGAACCAAGACTTGTTTAACAAGTAAAATACCTTTGTATTGGACGTCTTCCACGGCTTCTCGGAAAGTGAAGGAGAGTATGGTAGCGAGTCGTAGGGTCTCTTGAATCGCCTGCACGGACTTATAATAAGTCGAGGTAGAAAAACTCGTGCAATACAAACCCGTGAAGTCAATGGCATGTTCCTGGTATCCGACCACGATAAGCTTCTGTCGCCATCAATTATC